GAGAGGAAACCCTGTCTGAACGTCCACAGCTCAGGCACTATGTGTATGAGCGAATGGGATGGAACCTCTAGCTTTGGCTCTAAACAAAGCCAAACCATTTTTTCATGCAAAGGGCTGTTCCTAGGGGTGATTACGCCATTTCAGCAAATTACCCCCGTCCTTTTTACAGCGTGTTTCAGTGTGTTGCATGGATCTGATTTTCTCCTATGGGGATAATTTGCTGGATGGCAGCACGGTGTGGTTATTTTGGTTTTATCAGCCAGCTGGAGGTACTTTAGTAAAAGCAGCAATTCCAGTAAGCGCCAGCAAAGTCTGCTGCCCCTTCACAGGGAGCGTGTCTGCCAGGGCTGCCTCGCATGGAGTCTCCTCCTTCCTCCCCCTGTACGTTTGAAGCAAAAAATGAGCCAGAACAAACCTTTGGAGGGAAAGTTGGCTGCAATTTTTAAGTGAAAGCTTAGCTAACACCCTGCTAAACTGCAAATTTTTGTTCTCTTCCCCAGGGCATCTTGGGTTCGGGTTTTGCTCTGAAGGTTCAAGAGCAGCATCGACAAAAACACTTTGAGAAGAGGCGAAACCCAGCAGCGGGCCTGATTCAGGTGAGGATTGCATCCAAGGAGCCTTGGGGTTACATCATCCCGATTTTGGGGGTCTTAATAGACTTTTAGAGGTAGAGGAGAAGACAGGAGGAAGGTGAAAAATAGGGCTGTGTGTGTAAGGTGCGAGACAGCAGCTGGTGACTGGTCTTGTCTAGGAATAAACGCCAGGAAACCAGCCATGGGAAAATAGCATATGTGGTAGGCAATCTGGGGGAGAAAAGGAACGAAATCCAGCCCAGCAAGACAAATGCATTAGGACAGTCTGTTTTCACCAAACTTTTTTTTTTTCCCCTCAAAGAGAATATTTATACTGATATAAAGTTACAATTGGGAGCATTTTATTCACGATAACAGATGTCTGTGCAGAAGGCTGGCCTTGGTGATTTGAAATTAGTCATTTGACATTCCCCTGCTCCTCACTCTCTCCCAAATTTTGTGACTCCCTAATGTGCAACAGCACCCATTTGATACCTGACCTGACCCTGGCACCGAGTGCCAGGTACCCACAGCACGTTTAGCTGGGCTTACGTGGTCGAAGCATCATGGTGCCATGCCAAATTTGTCATGTATCAAATCAAGGAAAAGGCAAAATGTTGGACCCATCCCACAGAAAACAGAGGGAGGACTCGGTGTTGGCCAGGGTTTATAAAACTGAGGGTGGTGCTGGCCACGCCTGAGTCCATCATCCCACCGTGTCTCCTCTGCAGGCGGCTTGGAGATTTTATGCCACCAACCTGTCCCGGACGGACCTGCACTCCACCTGGCAGTACTACGAACGCACCGTCACCGTCCCCATGTACAGGTACCTCCTCCTCCACCTCCCTCTTCCACTGCCACCTTCGTGATGCCACTGTCTCCATAGTTATTTTTGTTATCTGGATATACAGATTTTTTTGTTTACTTTCTTTAATTTGAAAAAGTTGATTTCAAGAGCTCGTAAGGGCTGGTATATGATTTTTTTTTTCTTTCGGAGGTTTTTTGCTTTGTTTTTTGTGTGTTTATTTTTGACTTGATTTTAATTTTCCTGTTGATTTTTTTTCTTTTCTTTTTCTTTTTGTGTCTGTGTGTGTACGTGCTCTTCTTTTCACCTTTATTTCTCCACGCCTGCTGGTAGTTGCATTGTGTTGTGACAGTTGCCGTGCCCAGGTGTGAAGACCTCCCTCCCGAGCTGCCCTGGATCGTAGGTAAACGCCACCCTCCTTGCGCCCTTGCTTGGGCTCTCCTTGCTACTCCAGCTGGTCTCTAATGGTCCTTCTGCCTTTCAGCAAACTTCTGTCCCTCCCTTGACTGGCCCGGCACTCTCCCCAGGTGTATTTACCCTGGGTTCCCCTTTCCTTTCCTTTTTTATTTCCTCTAAGAAGAGGAAAAACAAATCAGGATTCAGTGAGCATTTTCCAATTTCTTGCATTTCATTTATCCATCACGATCTGTTGACACGAGTAGGGAAGGACAGCAGAGCCGTGACGGATGACACTGATAAAGCACTGCTGTGTTTTAGCAGCATCCATCTGGCTTGTTTTAAGGAGAGGTAACTCGTCATCATATTCAGGCAGCTCTTGTAGCTGAAACGACACAAGTTATAGCAGGGCTGATAGCAGGGCTGTGGGGATTCACAGCCTCTTGGGACTTGGAGCCTCATGTTGATGGGAACAGAGTCCCCCGCCATGCCTCGCTGCCCTCCGGGACGTGGGGAAGCACTGCGTCCCCTGTGCTGCTCTCGGGGTTGGTGGCATCGAGGAGGAGGCTTCCCCAGAAGCTAAACTGCAAGACGCTGCTGTTCATTTTCCACTCCACGCTGCACTGCGTCCCAGGCAGCACCGTGCATCCCTTTCTGGTGTGTTTTTAGGGGCTAGCCAAATGTCTTTGTTTGTAGAGGACTCAGATGTGTTTGTTAGATATTCTTTTTGCTTCGTGGGGTTTTGTTGGGTGTGATGGGGCTCCCTGTGCCCCATCTCCCTGCTCCCAAGCAGGGCTGTGGTCCAGTTCTGAGTTGTGCCATTGCAGGTGTGAATCCCTTTCTGTTTTCCCATGTTACTGGTGCCTTTTAGCCCTTGGGCAGATATTCTGGATATATTTCCTAGGGTAAGCATTAGCCTGTATCTGAAACGCAGCGGCCAGCCTGTTAATCCATCTTAAAAACCTATTGGAAGTCACGTTGTTGTGGTCAGTAAGTTTTCATTGAATTCATTCCCAGTGTGTCTGATTGGTTGCTTTTTCCCTAGAGATTTATGAACTGACTTCAAGATTTTGCTTAAAAAACCCCCCAAAACAGCAACCCAACAAAACAGAAAAAAACCTGTTTTCCAATAGCATTAAACCCACCCATTGAAACTCTCCCTCCCAGTATTTTGACCTTCTTGCTGTGCATTTGCAGCACTGGCTGAGATCAGCTACTGGAGAGGATGAGAACCAGATCCTGGTCCAAAGTCTACTGCAAAATGCAGAAAGCCAGGGGCTGATTTCAGTGGACTTTGCCAGGTTTTACTGCTCTTTGAAAGACTGAACTTACTACGCAGCCAGACATACAGTGACACCCTTTTGCATGAGGACATACTGAGGTAATTACCTGCTACTTAATCTGCTTGTTAAAACCTGTATTTCCCATGGAGCCAGTATGCAGGAAGAAAACTAAGCTAAAGAGCTCCAGAAGAGGCTAAATAAAAACTTTGGGGAGCAGAAAGTGCAAAAAATGTAGTTTAGTGAAGAACCCAGGTATCTGGAATAAAAAACAGAACAAAGTTGTAGCAGGGTTGTAGCAGTTTTGCTGGCTGATGCTGCGGGTGCTGCTCCCAACATCAGCCCCAAGCACTAGTGTCACCCTGGGCTTCCCTAGGCACGGGTCTCTGCTCTCCCAGCTTCACTCTTAAATCCCAACTCCTGTTTGTGCGCAGGCAAAGTGAACATCACCTGGGAGAGTGAGCTGTGGGTGCACCGATGCATTCAGCTCTTAGTCAAATTGGATTTTTTTCCCAAGAAATCACTGAACCTCTTTTGAGTATATTTTGGATGCAGATAAATTAATTGAAAAATAAAAATAATTTAAAAAAGGGGGTAACTCTATGTTCTGGCTGCAGCTTCCATCACTCACTGTCCATCTATCCTCGTCTGCCCACTTTGCTAAGCCAGCTGGCGGGTGCTGGCAGCCCTGCGCTGGTGCAGCCTTAGCGGCACGTCAAGCCCAGCGCCGCGTTAAGGCGATGGCTGCTGACATGCGGCTGCCACGCACAGCGTGGTTAGGAAGTGGGTTGGAGGAACATGATATCCCAGTCTCCCTCGTGGGTGCCTGGGGGTGATGATCTGCAGTTACCGCTACCTTGGCACCCTTTCTGCTGAACGTCGGGCTGCTTATTCCTCATAGCAGGAGCCCGGTGACTTGAGCTTGCCTGTCTTCCCAAGGCATCTCCCAAACGACTGGCTACCTGATATGAGAAAATTGTTACACATGCCTTGGAGGAGTTCACGTGTCTCCAGAACATCACTCAAATCACTGCAGTAGAGCTAGTCTCACTTGTTTGGGGAAAACGTGGTGGCCTCTGAGAGTATCTCAGATTTCATCTTTAAGTTCAAAATGTTGTAGAACCAAATTTGAAATATGCACAAGGCTCCTGTGCAGGTACGGTTTGGGCTTGTAATGCACGTGTAGCTGGTGCATCCGGACATCATAACCTGTTAGGCATCAGCCATTGGATTTCCTGAAAACAAATCTGCTCTTTATTGTCACTTGTAAGAACAAGGCCTCGATCTCATCTATGCTCATATATTGGTCTTCGCTTAAAAAAAAAACCACCACTGGCACATCATGCCCGAGTTAGCCCAGAAATCCCTGGCTGATGGGACCGAGGGCTGTGTATGTCTCACCTAAGGTCTCTCTGAGGCCCCCCCCACTTTCCCCACTCTGTGGTGCCCATTTGCTTTCGGAGCAAGGTCCAGCTGCCTGTCCCCGAGGGTGACACGGGTCCGCAGTGGTTTCTGAGCCAGCTGCAGTGGGAGCGAGCTCAGCCCACGCTCACCTGTAAGCCTGGTCACAGCGCATCTGCTCCTGGGGATGCACTTCGTTCATATGCTAATTTTCTCTATTCTGTTTCTTTTCCCCTTTCCTCCACCCCACCTTTCCCCCCTGTTTTTCTTTCTCTTATCCCTTTGGTTTTCTTTGGTGAAAACACTTGAAAAGCACGCAAACGCAAACGTACGGTGCCTCCAGGTATGAAGTGCATGTGGCTCTGAAACTGTGTGTCATGTCACTCCTTGTTCTTCGTTTGGGACTGTAACATGCAAAGCCTTTAATTAAAAAAAAAAAGAAAGAAAGAAAAAAAAGAAACCTCTGAAGATCAGTTTTTTCAAAGGAATGAGTGAAAGCCCAAACCAGACTCCCCATCCTGCTGCCTACAGACTAATTCCATGCACCTCCATGTACATTTTAGCTATTGGTACACACAAGTGTTGGGAAACTGTCGGCCAAAATGATGATTTAAGTAAGGAGAATGGGAGAGCGCTTGATACGCTTGCTTTTTAAAGGATGATTTCTTGATGGTCTTACCAACCTCCTCCAATTCATACAATGCTTAACAAGAAAACTTCCCCGTTCATACTTCCATTTTCTCTCTGCCATCACTCCTGCGTGTTCCCCTTTCTCCAGCCCTCTTTTCCCACCTTTCATTGTACCATTTATCTCACTTCATGCTGTAGGAGCTGTGCCCACCAGGTAACACTAAGGTTTGCTGGATTTGCTGGTGTGATGGCACCATGGGACACATCAGTGGTAGCACAGAATAAAACCACAGCAGCGGCCATGCCTGCTTTTGAGGACAGTGTCTGGAGGAGGGAGATCTGGAATGCTAAACTGAAATGATCATTCAGGATTTCCCCTAGTAATCCAGTCTGATTTTTGGAAAAGGGATGTCCCACCTCAGCAGGACTTTTCCATTTCAGTTTTCTTCTTCCAAGACTGACCTAGAGCCAAGCAATTATTAGCCCCAGTTATTCAATCTGGGACTTAGCCTTCTGCGATGAATCCAAATGAAAAAACCTGTATGTAGCTGGGTAAGGTTTATTATAAATAATATTATCTCAGTTTCTGCAGAAAAAAGCAGATTTTCAAATCACAGTCATATTTTATGAGGTGGGCATCTGAAGGTGTAGTCAAGTCAATATTTTAAGATGGGGAATAAATGGCTTGCATTTCAAGACTGTGGGCTCTGTTCTTAGAGCAGTTTAAATCTTCACTAGATGCATTAATGCCATTAGAGCTGATGTGATTTAGTGCCTGACTTCCAAACCTGGATCCAGTTTTCACAGATGCAAGTTTTACAGCCTTAGTAAATCACACTTACCACTTTGGTTAATTTACAGCAAATCGCATCAAGGAATTGCAAGTATAATATGAATGCATTTTCCTGTTGTCCTGCACGACAGCCTGTTTTGAGAATCAGACATTTTTCTGCTGCTGGAAGTGAAGTAAGAATGTGCCACTTCCATCCCATTTCTTATAATAAAACATTTTATAAGTTTCATAAATTTTGCCACTTAAGAAAAACAGCTTAGGCAGGAGACATCAAGTCATGGTTGGGGTAATAATTGGTTCCTCATAGGAACCCCAACACAGCATGGAGACTCATTTATGTCCCCTTCCTATTCCAGCATCCATCTCCTTGTCACCCGCTTCCTAATCGCTCATACTGGGGCTGTTCAAACAAATCATCATCGTCTGTGTGTGTGTGTGTGTTGTGGCGTGTGTGCATTTTTGTGTACGCTCCCACCCACTGTTGTTGGTGTGCTGCTGCCCTCCTTGTGTTGTGGGTTTTTGATGATGTCCTGGCCGGAGGCATGATAAGCCTACTGTCCCCAGATGCTTGAATGTTAGCTGTGCTACCAGGAATAGCAAATTTACCTTCCCTTAGGATGGGGGAGCCAGCACCTGGAGTTAGGGTGGCGTTTCTCTCTGCTCTACGGGG